ATACATAGATTAAACGAATAAATTAAAATAAAAGGAGTATTATTGAGTTGAATGTAGAGTAAGGCCCCTCTGACAGTAGATGTACTTCATAAAAATGTTTGTTGTCATGTGATGTTCGACAGAGATAAGGTATTTCATGTTTGGGAATCCATTCCGTATCTACTCATCATTCTTTCCCATGACTGGCCAGCTCACAAACTTTGACATTTTCTATTTTTTCTGTCCTATAATTTTTAAAAATTATTTCATTCGAGAGGATTTAAATTGTGTGTATTTATAGTATAATTTTTTTTTATGTACACTTACTTAATTATCAAATCATCGATTAATATTGTTGATTGTGTACAGTTAAATGTGGTTTGTTATTAAATAATAAATTGATTAAAATTTATGTATACCGTTGACATGGGGTTTACTTTAATCTCTAATGAGAAGTTGGTGTAGTTGTTGATAAAATTGAGATTAGACTTTCAACCCTGAAAACTGTTTTAGGTATTTTTATTCCTTGTCTATTTTTGAGAAAACTATCTAGCAACTGATTTTTTTTAAAAATAACTTATGTATCTTTCAGATTGTGGTGTAACAATCTATTTTGAGTAAATTGATGATCTTATGAAAAAACATTAGACTATGATTTTAAATTTGTATGTTTTGTGAACGTTAGACGATAATCTAATGGTTTACTTGTAAGGTTGAGGTATGAGCTAATATTAGACTCGAGTCTAAAATTGTCTGAAAGGATAATTTTTCAAAAAGGTTATATTTGCGTAACTTTTAAAATATGGACAAAATTTAAATGATGGCATGAAAAGTTCAGCGGGATGTTTTTCTAGATGGGCTAGAAATAGGTTCTTGTTAGTCCAAGCTAAGTGGGCTGCGTCCTCCTTTGCTGCTGGAAAGCCCAAATAGCAGTTACAATAACACCATTGACATTCTCTATTCATTTTCTTAACATAATTACTAGAGCAACTTTCACGTATAGCAAACATTAAAATCATATTTGTATGTTATAGTTATAGTTTGCATAATTGCGCTCCATAGCAAATTTTATGTTTGCTATGAAGCTTTTGATTTGTATAATTCGCTAGATACATCCAATTTTATACAAATTGTTCAGTTTTGTATAAATTCATTTATACATTGTAATTTGTATAATAAGATCTATATTTATATAATTATAAGTTTATACAAACACAAACACATTTTATACCGAAATGTATAAAATGACTAATTGTATGCCAAAATGGCTAATTGTATACTGAACCAGATGACAAAAAAAGGGGATGTTTGCTAGGAATTACAAATAAAATAAACTATGACTATAACATTAATTTGAATTAATAGTTTGTTATTTCATATAATTTTACCTAATTACTACTACGTCAACATTGTATTTTCTCACCAACATGAGTTGTGATGCAGTAATGAGACTATTTCACCCTTGACTAGATGTCCCGGTTTCGAGCCTTGGGTATGAAGAGAATCATGTCGGGAGCACCTCTAATGGGCCCTACAGTGTGCATTGAATTGAGAAAATTGTATAAAATAGCAAACTATTAATTCAAATTAAATGTTATAACCACAGTTTCATTTAATTCTAATCCGTAGCAAACACTTGCCATTCGCCTCTCTCCCTAGAAATCTTGCTCGCCACTCTCCTTCGCCTCTCTTACTTTATACAACACAAATGTATAAATTGCGTTTGTGTTTGTATTAAGGGAGAGAAAACTGTATATACAAATACAGATACATATATTTTCGTCATATACACTTATAATTATACAAATACAGATCTTACCCTACCAGTTCTCTTTTGCCTTTCTCTCTTTCTCGCTTTATACAAACACAAATTATACAAATTACAATGTATAATTTGTGTTGTATAAAGCGAGAGAGAGAGATTTGCTATCCAAATGTTTTATTTTGATTCAATTGTATACAAATTCAAGTTTTATGCAGATATACAAACATAAAGAACATATACATATACAAACACAATTTTCATATACACAGACGTTTGATTTATACAAATCGCTGCGATTTATACAAATCGCTGCGATTTATACAAATCAGAGATCTGTTGCTCCATAGCAAAAATAAAAGTATAAAGCGAGAGAGAGAGATTTGCTATCCAAATGTTTTATTTTGATTCAATTGTATACAAATTCAAGTTTTATGCAGATATACAAACATAAAGAACATATACATATACAAACACAATTTTCATATACACAGACGTTTGATTTATACAAATCGCTGCGATTTATACAAATCAGATGCCTGCGATTTTTATACAAATCTGATGCTCCATAGCAAACATAAAATTTGTTATGGAGCGCAATTATGCAAACTATAGCTATAGCATACACATATGATTTTTATGTTGGCTAAACCTAAAATTTACTCATTTGAATTTAATCAAGACTCCAATATAAGCTCCAGACATCGAGTGACAAAAAAAAACTTGTATTTTCTCATATTTAATCGAAAAGGTTAGAGAGATCTATGCATTTCTATTGTGAAAATGCTTGATTAATTGCATAAAGTTAATTTGTAATATATTACAGTTTTTTCCTATTAAGCATTTAAGTCAATTGAGATATTGTATGTTCTGATGTGAGAATGTATGAATAAAATAATAATGTAATATTTGCGTCTTTTAGGTGAAGGGTTACATCTGCTAAATGTCTACCAATCTTCATCCTTCTTCACTATATTCTGTTACACTTGCATATCACTTTTATTTTTTATTTTTTATGTATAGATATATTAACAGTACTATATGTAATTATTTAAGATTAGTTTTAATCTACTATAACAGGTAAAATATCTTTTTAACTTTCTTTATTCTTAATCTCAATATTTACAAACGATTATTCATATTTTTCTTTTTGATTATCTATTTTCTTACATGTCATGTATAATAGAAATTAAGCTCTCTTTGAATACTAACATACGGATAATACTAATAAAAACCTAGTTTGGAGAAGAGTAAAGGATAAACAATATTAAATACTTATTCGCATCAAGTATTTACATCAAATTAATATAACTTATCATAATTAGATAATTTAATACAGTAAAAAATATATATTAATTAAACGATGATTAAGTAATAGTTAACTTGTATTCAAACTCACAGATAATAAAAAAAATATCTAAAAAATGATGATACTCATAATAGATCTTCGTGATTATAAAAGCATAACGAAAAATTTATTTATTTTATTTTAGTAATATATCCTTCAATTTTATAAATGTCTAAATCAATTGCTAGGATGAGCAGCCAATGAAACTGATCAGTCTTCAACTACCATTCATTTCTAGTATTTTCCATGAGCTCGATAGGAAACTTCCAATGGATTTGATCCCTATATATTAAAAAACCTTTATCTATTTTGTAATTTAACAGAGTAATATTTTTTTAAAAAAATTAACTGAGTAATAAATACTTAATGTTCTACATATTTTTTTTCCTTCCAAAAATGACTACAAGGATAATAATTCATTCCTTTTATGTAAACCTACTTTACCTGAGTTTTAATTTAATATTTATTTTATACTTATTCACCAACCCCGTTAGTTAACATGTACTAATATATCAGATTCACAAGTGATATTTCCCTTTTTGTTTTTCTGTTATTTCCCATCCTTAAATTACCGAATCAAAAGTAAAAATCCTGAGCATGTAATTAAACTTGCATATGCGTTTGGTTTGGAAAAAATATTTAAAACAATGTGGGATACAAGTTTGAAAAAAAATAATAATTTAGGGAGTTATTTTGAGTTGAGACCTATCCCAATTTTTGTTTCTGATGTTGCATTGCCCCATATTAAATTGTCCAATATGCTTCAAACGCCTATGTGTGTGAAGAATCCGCATCGAGGATAAAAGTGATGGGTTATATGCATCAGTTTTTGGGGTTGAGTTAAACCCCAATTCTAAATATGATATCGGAGCAAGACTCATCTCAAATTTTGTTTAGGATATTTGGGTCCCATATCAAGTCCCCCAATATGGTTTAGATGTCCAACCATAAGCATGAAAGTTTGTGTGAAGAGTCCACATCGACGGTAAAAGGGACGGGTGGACAATATTCACTTCTTGAACTAACTTTTGGGATCGACTTAAACCCAAACTTCATTTCTTTTAACACGTTCAACTATATCTATTTGTTCATTGATCAAATGCAATGCAGTAAATTAAACCTGGTAATTTAACATATTTTAGCTGCACAAGTTGTTTTTTTCTGCTACTAATGTACAATTTGTTTCGTATGAGGGGTTGTTCATCGTTAAAGGAAACCTTAACAGAACATTTTAAGTGAAATCTAAGCAAAATGTGGCCACGAATTCGAGGAAATAAAGAAAAGCAACTAAATCTTAGAAGTAAAATTAGCTCTAAGAATTAATAAGTCTCTGCAGAATCTTTATTACTTCACTCCATTTTGTATGTGTTTTTATCCTTAATAGAGGTGACATGAATCGATTCAACTTGTATATACTAATAAAATTATTTTTTTTGTTTACGCTATCAATATATTTTAACCTATCATATTTTTTATGTTACTAATCCGAGTTTTGATGAACGTTTACCCGTAATCATCTTTGAGAAAGAGAATTATAAGTATATGGAAACTATGGAAGTAAGTTAGAGAAATATGGTCCTTATTACATGCGTCCGCCTCAATATGCAATAGCACCAAACAGTGAAATTATCTCCTTTCTTTACGGTTAAGGTAAAGTTCATATACTAAGTACTAGGAGTATTTTAAATTCTTCTTTGAGTATATTCGCTTTAATTTTGAATTTAGCCTCTACGTCAGTCAATGGCTCACAAAATGTCTTCATCAGAATTTGCTTAAAAGCTTTGCAGTACTGCCCATTAGAATCATTTTCCACCTAATCTCTGTTACAACAAACTGAGAAAATTTGCCTTCTATCATTTCACTTGTATAAATATACCTCTAATTTACATCTTTCTTTCATCATCCAAACAGTTGTTCAATAGCTTCTAGCAAAGAAAATGGCAACGCGGACAACTTTGTTAGGTGTCCTTGCCTTTGGTTTTCTTTGTTTCATTTGTCTACCTGCTGAGGCTGCCCTTAAGAAATATCAATTTGATGTTGGTCTCTTCAATTTTAAAAATGTGCTTTTGTTTATTTTGGTTCTTAGCTACTGTTTGTTCTCTACACTAGCTCATGTGGCACCTTTTTTCGTCTTTTACAGGTTAAAGTGTCAAATGTGAGCAGATTGTGCCATGCAAAACAGATGGTTACAGTTAATGGAGGATTTCCGGGGCCAACTATATATGCTAGAGAAGGAGATAGAGTTCAAATCAATGTTACTAACTATGCACAATATAACTTGTCCATTCATTGGTAACAACATTAAATTTAGATGAAATTAATATTTTTTCTAAACTTTCAGGGGCTAAAACAGAATATTTTTGTTCTGATTCTTGCAGGCATGGTTTGAAACAATATCGCAATGGTTGGGCAGATGGTCCAGCTTACATAACTCAGTGCCCTATCCAGACAGGAAATAGCTATGTTTATGACTTCAATGTAACAGGACAAAGAGGTACCTTATGGTGGCATGCACATATTCTTTGGCTAAGGGCAACTGTCTATGGTGCAATAGTGATCATGCCACAACAAGGAACTCCCTTCCCTTTTCCTCAACCAGATAGGGAAGAAGTACTTGTACTAGGTGAGCGTTGGCACTCTTTAATATACATAGAATTCACCCCCGAAATTTCTTGTACTTCTCTTAGTGCAAAGCATAAATGGAACATGACATTTCTTATGTTTAAATTTTGATAGGAGAATGGTGGAATGCTGATGTTGAACAAGTTGAGAAACAAGGAAACGCATTAGGTTTACCTCCTAATATGTCTGATGCTCACACGATCAACGGAAAGCCAGGGCCTCTTTTTCCATGTTCTGAGAAACGTAAGAATTAAGATACTGATATTTGTTCAAGTATTCAAACCCTGTCGTATCAAAATAAATATGACTAGCAACAATGTTAGCATGTAAATCATACACATACTAACCATGATTCAATTACTTTCTCAGATACTTTTGCCATGGAAGTTGAAAAAGGAAAGACATACCTGTTGAGAATTATCAATGCTGCTCTCAATGATGAACTCTTTTTTGCCCTGGCTAATCATACCTTCACAGTGGTAGAAATTGATGCAGTCTACACGAAACCATTCACCACAGACGCCATTCTGATTGCACCAGGCCAGACTACAAATGTTCTGGTTCGCACCAACCAAGTTCCAGGAAGATACTTCATGGCTGCAAGGGCCTTCATGGACGCTCCAATCAGTGTGGATAACAAGACTGCCGCTGCTATATTCCAGTACAAGGGAATCCCAGAAACCGTGATTCCAAAACTTCCTACTTTGCCTGCACAAAATGACTCAGACTTTGCTTTGAGCTATAATTCTAAACTCAAAAGCTTAAATACTCCCAAATATCCAGCAAACGTTCCCCTAAATGTTGATCGACACCTCTTGTTAACAGTTGGCCTTGGGATAAATCCTTGTCCCACCTGTCTAAATGGAACTAGGCTAACAGCTTCTTTGAACAACATTTCCTTCATCATGCCAGAAACTGCACTTCTTCAGTCTCATTACTTCAACATTAAGGGTGTATACACTCCAGATTTCCCAGACAAACCACCTACTCCATTCAATTTTACAGGGGCACCCCTTACAGCCAACCTAAGGACAAATGTAGGCACTAGGATCAGCAAAATTGCTTTCAATTCTACTGTTGAAATAGTAGTCCAAGACACCAACTTGTTGTCGGTGGAATCACATCCTTTCCATCTCCATGGCTACAATTTCTTTGTGGTTGGAACTGGCATTGGAAACTTTGACCCCAAAAAAGATCCAGCAAAATACAACTTGAATGATCCTATAGAAAGAAATACTGTAGGTGTTCCAACTGGCGGTTGGACTGCTATTCGATTCAGGGCTGATAATCCAGGTACCTAGTTTTCAACCAAATTTTGTTAAAACTTTTCTATTGTTTTGAAAATTTATTGTTAACATATCCAATTTTTTGTGAAGGGGTCTGGTTCTTCCACTGTCATCTGGAGTTGCACACAGGCTGGGGACTGAAAACAGCATTTTTAGTGGAAAATGGACCAGGATTAGATCATAGTATTCTGCCTCCACCAAAGGACCTTCCATCATGCTAATTTCAAAAGGCTTTACTTTTATATGTCCAGATGGATTTCTTGTAAAAGTTTTACATAATTTGTTTTATTTTCCCATAAGGAAGCAAAATGCTTTGAAGATTATACACATTTTAGCCAGTGTGCATAGGAAAGATGTGCAAAATTGGAAAAATGAAGAAGGAGTTTTTATCCCAAGAATTTAAATGTAATTTGAGTTGTAATAAAGGTCCACACATAAAAATGTGATTTTGGGCTGTTGTTTTTTATGAACTTCCCTATCTACTTGGATTGAAATATAGTCTGTTAATACTACTTGACTTGACAGGTTTATCAATTATAGCAAACCTGAATTAGTACCTGCTATTTTAAGAAAAAGTCCTAAAATTTGAGTTCGATCATCCATCCATATATAAGAATTGCTAAGTCACCAACAAAACTGTGTAAATTTAGAGAAAAAGCCCACAATAATCCCTTTAAGTTTGAGAACAAAAAATTTATACGAGTGCACAAACAGTTCTTTGAGTATACAGACACTGAACGTTTAGTGAAATGGAAGTGTTAAAAAGTTGAACAGGAACTTAAGGAATAAGCGGAAGACATTACCAGAAAAACTAGAATTTTCGGTGAAATTCCATTAAAATTATACTCATCGTAATTATTTCTGATGGACTTTCTATTGAAAATTCTGATTTTTCTAGTAGTGCCTGAGTTGGAAAGTGATGCAAGTGAAATAGGGATTAATTTCATAGATATATAACTCTAGTTCTATGAAGAACTTTACCATGGTTTTTAGGGGGAGATTATACTAGCACTTTGAAGTATAAAACTTATCCTCAAATTTCAGTATTTGGGTGGATGCCTTTACAGAATTTATGTAATATTTCATCTGGTGAAATAACAAATAAAATTGAAAACATTAGTAACGTAGAACATCGTTTAAATGAAAGTGTACTGTATCTTTTTGGCAATTAAACACTCTTCATTACCAAAATGATCTTAAAAAGTGTACTACAATAATTTTACTGAATTTCACATATCTGTTAGTGGTTCATTTTACTCGTAAAATAGATTGATTGTGATTTTACCCCCAAAAAGTTATAGTGTTGGTAAGTCAGGACGGCTCTATATGTATTGAAAAATAAGTCACTTACTTTAGGCCTCCAAATTTAAAGATCCCATTAAAAAATACTAAGATTTTTACAAGTACTCTTAAAAATTAGAAAAAATTATATAGTTAGTTTCAATCTTTAGTTTAAGACTATACGATTCAAAAAATATTATTTATTTCTTATTAAACTTCAAACTCCATGTCAAGTCAAAATTAGACAAACAAATTGAAATGGAGAGAGTACTATTTACAAAACAAAATAATTTTTTCATATAGAAAGAGAAAACAAGTTTGCATCTCAAAATAATTTTTTAAAATATATATTTACAAACACTTTGCATTTTAAAAAAACTAGAATAACAGATTTTAAATTAAAAAAAAGTATTATTATTACTCAAAAATTTAAGAGATCCGATTTGTTTTTGATTTTAGGCCATGAAAGTGCTTGAGTCACCCCCAATTACAGTTCTGAGTTATCAAAATTATTTTTTTAGTTAACATACCATGCAAGGAAAAAAAAGTGAAGCGCCTAGTTGAGAGGATTAAATTAATGAATGAAGGTGGTATTTCAGTGTCATAGATAATAAAATTGAGTAGCCATAAAAACATATGTAAATGGTGATACTCATAGTAGGTTTACATGACTACAATAGCACAACGAACATTTATTTATTTTAGTAATAATATAATAATTTCTTTCCTTCCTATGTCTAAATCAATATGCTATTTTTTGACCAACCAATAAAACTGCCGTCAAAAAATATACCTACATTCTACATGCTAATTAACATGCACCTTCTTATACTATAGCTAGGGCAACTTCTTTCCTTTACCGTTAAGGTAAAGTTCATAAAACTAATTTATATTTTTCTTAGCTTGAATGTGGTGGATTTTGAATTTAGCCTCTACGTCAGTCAATGGCTTTAAAAATGTCTACATCTGTGTATTGCTTAAAGGCTTTGCAGTAACAGCACTACAGCAAATTGAAATACTTTTTGTACCTAATATATCTCTTCCCTTAACAAACTATATGACATTTCACTTGTATAAATACGCTTGTCTCATCCCATTCCACATACTTGTCATACACCTTTTAGCCAATTAAGGAAAATGGCAAAGCAGACAAGTTTTATAGGCTTACTTGTCTTTGGATTTCTCTGTTTCATTTGTCTACCTGTTGAGGCTGCCCTTAAGAAATATCAATTTGATGTTAGTGCTTTCAATTTTTGAACTTTGTTTACTTTTGGTTCTTTTCTTTTCATCATGGTAAACTTTCTGTGGTTTACAGGTGAAATTGTCAAATGTGAGCAGATTGTGCAATGCAAAACAAATGGTTACAGTAAATGGCGGATTTCCGGGGCCAACTATATATGCTAGAGAAGGAGATAGAGTTCAAATCAATGTTACTAACTATGTACAATATAACTTGTCCATCCATTGGTAAGATAAGCTAGAATTAGATGAAAATTGAAGTCTCAAAACTTTCAGGTGCTAAAACAGAATGTTTTTGTTCTGATTCTTGTAGGCATGGTTTGAAACAATATCGCAATGGTTGGGCAGACGGTCCAGCTTACATAACTCAATGCCCTATCCAGACAGGAAATAGCTATGTTTATGATTTCAATGTAACAGGACAAAGAGGAACCTTATGGTGGCATGCACATATTCTTTGGCTAAGGGCAACTGTCTATGGTGCAATAGTGATAATGCCACAACAAGGAACTCCCTTCCCTTTTCCTCAGCCAGATAGGGAAGAAGTGCTTGTTCTAGGTGAGCATTGACATTCGTTAATATATATAGTATTCATCCCCAAAATTTCTCAAAGTTCTCTTATGGCAAAGAATAAAAGAAAATGACAGCAATACTTCTATGTGATTGTGATGCAGGGGAATGGTGGAATGCTGATGTTGAAGCAGTCGAGAAACAAGGAAATGCCTTGGGTATTCCTCCTAATATGTCTGATGCTCACACGATTAACGGAAAGCCAGGGCCTCTTTTCCCATGTTCAGAGAAATGTAAGAATCAAGAAACTGATATTTACTAGAGTATTTCAATCATGTATGTTTGTTAGAGTATTTGCTTCCAACATAATTCAATATGTGAATTTCTTTTTCAGATACTTTTGCCATGGAAGTCGAAAAAGGAAAGACATACCTGTTGAGAATTATCAATGCTGCTCTCAATGATGAGCTCTTTTTTGCCCTGGCTAACCATACCTTCACAGTGGTAGAAATTGATGCAGTCTACACGAAACCATTCTCCACAGAGGCCATCCTGATAGCACCAGGCCAAACTACAAACGTTCTGGTTCGTGCAAACCAAGTTCCGGGAAGATACTTCATGGCTGCAAGGGCCTTCATGGATGCTCCAATCAGTGTGGATAACAAGACTGCCACTGCTATATTCCAGTACAAGGGAATCCCAGAAACGGTGCTGCCAAAACCTCCAACCTTGCCTGCACAAAATGACTCAGACTTTGCTTTGAGCTATAACTCTAAACTCAAAAGCCTAAATACTCCCAAATATCCAGCAAACGTCCCCCTAAATGTTGATCGGCACCTCTTGTTTACAGTTGGCCTAGGAATAAATCCTTGTCCTACCTGTCTAAATGGAACTAGGCTTACAGCTTCTCTGAACAACATTTCCTTTATCATGCCACAAACTGCACTTCTTCAGTCTCATTACTTCAACATTAAGGGTGTATACACTCCAGATTTCCCAGACAAACCACCTACTCCATTCAATTTTACAGGGGCACCCCTTACAGCCAACCTAAGGACAAATGTAGGCACTAGGATCAGCAAAATTGCTTTCAATTCTACTGTTGAAATAGTAGTCCAAGACACCAACTTGTTGTCGGTGGAATCACATCCTTTCCATCTCCATGGCTATAACTTCTTTGTGGTTGGAACTGGCATCGGAAACTTTGACCCCAAGAAAGATCCAGCAAAATACAACTTGATCGATCCTATAGAAAGAAATACTGTTGGTGTTCCTACTGGCGGTTGGACTGCTATTCGATTCAGGGCTGATAATCCAGGTACCTAGCTAGTTTTCGACCAAGTTTAGCAAATGTACTTTTTGCTATTGTTTTAAAATTTATTCTAAACATATCCAAATTTTTGTGAAGGGGTCTGGTTTTTCCACTGTCATCTGGAGTTGCATACAGGCTGGGGACTGAAAACGGCATTTTTAGTGGAAGATGGACCAGGATCAGATCATAATGTTCTGCCTCCACCAAAGGATCTTCCAACCTGCTAATTTCACAAGGCTTTCTGTTTTCTGTACAAATGTATTTTGTGTGCAGGTTTTCAATTTGCTTCATGCACCATAAGGAAGCAAAGGCTTCAAGGATCATACAAATTTAGAAAGGAATTTCCATCCAGAAAATTAAAGGAATTCGTTTGTAGTTTGAGCTGTCATAAACTTCCACACATAAAAATGTGGTTTTGGATTGTTTTTTTTCTTTTGTTGTCAAATTGGATTGTGTTTTCATGAACTTCCCTAATTCGTTGAATACCTATCATTGAATTGAAATATGTTTGTTGATACTTGCTTTTGATTTGTCTCTAACTAACCTATATGACAAAGATTCAAGTCGTGCAATCAATCATTAATGTTTTTGTCACGATACCAAATATTACCATTTGGATTTATCAACTATAGCAAACCTGAATTAATCCAGTTAAGCACCTGGAAACCTATGGCTAACGAGAAGTCCTAAAATATTTCGACTACCCCTTTTAAGAAAATGCAAAGAAACGACAAAATCAAGAAAACCAAACATCCTAGCTACTTTGTTAAAGCAAAAAAAAAAACAGCAGAAAAGGACATCTTAATTTCCTGGGTGGCATTTGATGGGTTTGGGAGACAAAGTTTTTGACTTTGGCTTTTGAAAAATAATTTGCAACCACTCTTAAGAACATAAACATTAAAATGGGTGAAAAATTATGACAGACAACTAAACAAATATTCAACTATAAATAGAAAAAATTGGCTTACAATTATGGTCAAATGGGATTACTTTTCTTTAAAATCAATTTCTTCAATAAATATTCAAAACAATAAAAGCAAAAGAAAAAAAAAGAATATTCGAAGTTATTGTAAAGGCACAATATCCAGTTAAGTAGTTCAGTGGACAACAAGGACTGCACAGACTACAGAGCAATAAAAAGAGAACAATTTTCCAGTTGAAAGCAAAA